TGGTTAGGTAGTTGCGTTGCGTCCGTCGAAACCCGCGTTCGATCCCCCGTTCCCCCGAATTTATTTTCAAGTTTGTCTTCTTTAATATAAGGTTTCCAAAAACAAAAATAGTAGAAACAACTGCGGGAAAAGTATAAATAAGTTAATTAAATAATTTTTTTAATTTTATTTTTATGAAAAAACCCCACTTTGTATAAGTATTAAATATTTATTATTATTTTAAATAATAATTAATGTAAAATTAACGAATAAATTATACAAGAAACTTTCGTTTCTATTTTAGGGTAAATTTTCTAAAAACATTTACTGAACAATTGTGAAATTAACAGAAATAATTTTAGAGAAACTTCCAAAAAAACTTCCTTAAATTTTTCAGGAAATTTCTAGTCCTTTTTCCTGGCAAATTCCATTGATAATTTCCTGGAAGTTAACAGTGGAAACTTTAAATCTTAAGACATATCAAGTTTCTTGGAAGTCTCCAGGAACTTAACACGTCAAATTTCCGAACTTAACGTGGGAAACTTCCCGGAAAAAACTGTGCTATGTGGGTGGAAATAAGTGAATATTTGTTATTTAACTTTAGGTATAAAAAGTTCTAGATATCGGTTTGTCAGATTTCTCACAATTTAAGATTGAAGACCAAGAAAATGCAATTTCCATAAGACACAGTGTTAAATGTGAAAAGAGAAAATTATTTACATCTTTTGTCATATAATCAACCTAGACCTCTAAAAAATTTAACTACATCTTCTTGAAACCATTATATCTATCAGTATATCAAGTTTCATAATGAACTGCTTGTTATTTCTGTTTGAGAGAGAACCTCATTTAAATTACACGGAGAAAAATGGTGCTGAGTTTCTAGTAAAAGTTGCTATGGAATAGTAATAATTCTACTTTTATATTAAAAATTACTATTCATAGTAAAATGTACTTCGCATGAAGTAAAAATTACTATTTCTGGTAGTAAAAATTACTAATAGTAATTATTACAGTAGTCACGTTTAAAAATTGCTTTAAGAATTTTAATTTTTACATCGTCATTGTAAATTTTATTAAATTTTGTATTACTTTTTACATTCGATATGTTGTAAATATTACTTGTAGAAATTCTAATAATTAATACTGCGGAAAATAAAGATTGCTTCTGCAAGAAGCAACTTTTACTATTGCAGAACAAATTTTTTACTCGTAAAAGTAGTAATCCGTACCACTACTGTTACACACCTATGTGTTCACACACATAGGTGTGATCACGTCACTACTGTCATGCGCAGCGACCGTAACCTGACGTCAAAGTGATCCAACATTTCTAGGTTACAAGAAGCACGTGTAGCACGGTTCAGTTCTTTGGACAATTTTGTTTATATCAGTGGTGCGATCATTAATTGCTATATGCATTTTAATTATTTATCAATTTCCAAAGTATGCAATTCATGTATAATCACTTAATAATTAGTTAATTAATTTTTAATGAATTACTAATTAATTAATAAAAAATATATATAAATAAATAAAATCATTAACATTATAATCTAATAATTTAATAATTAAAATAAGTAATTTTAAATTAATAATACTGTTTATTATTATTATTATTATTATTATTATTATAAATGTTTATATTTTAATTCAGTAACTTATCTAAATAAATATAATTTATGATTCACTTTATCGAAAAGAGATATATGCGGGTAACATGAAATTTTCTCCATAGCGATTGCGTAGCCGAGAGGCTTAGTATAAATGCGTGCGATTTTAGGTTGCGTTAGATATAAGTTAGGTAGGGTTCGAAACTGTATAGATGTTAAGATTTTCCGATATGTTAAGTTGTTAATTGTAAGTAAGAATGTGAAAAAAAAGTAAAACTTATGAATAATGAATAATAATACACATGCAGAGTGTTAATTACTTGAAAAAATATTTTTTGAACGCACTGATTATTTTATTTTAATTTATTAAAATAAAACGAGACAATATAGCTCTCTACACCAGCATTTTTTTTCGTCACGGCGTGGACAGACGCGCAGGCGCGCCGGCATTCGTTTCGCCCGTCGGTGTGAGGCGCGTCATTGTGTGGGTACGGATTACTACTTTTACGAGTAAAAATCTTTACCGAAATAGTAATAATTGCTCTGATTCGTAATAAAAGTTGCTTCGCTCAGAGTATTAATTGCTCGGGACATTTTAAATATTACTCGGCTTTTAATAAAATTTAGATTCCTTGAAGTAAATTATACTTTTTCAAAAAAGTAAAAATCGTTTGAATACGAAGCAAAAGTTACTATTTTTCGAGCAGTTTCAAAATTACTACTTAAAAGTAGTAATTTTTCATCGAAAATAGTATAATTATTACTATTTATTTTTCTCCGTGTAAAAAAATATAATTTATAATTATTTCCAGGTGGTCAAGTTGACAAAGTTTATGATCAACGATTGAAAAAGACATAGTGACCTTAAAATAGAACACATATTTACGAAACCCAAAATGATGGATTTAATATGGCGACTTTTTAATCCCCATATTAGAATTGCCATTTAAAATTTTTAAATCTGGCATTAAATTCTAAATTAGTGACACTAAAAACCCCTGAGTTAACACTTTTAGACAACTTTTAAAGTTGCCTCTATTAAACTTTTAATCGACTTTTAAAAAATTTGGTCGCCAATTAAATCCAATAGGATTTAAAGTAATAAAATTTTAATATAATTATTTTGCTGGTCTTCCAAAGCAAAATTCTCTGATTTTTAAAGACTTAAAAAAATTATTACACCAGAGAAAGGTAGATTTATCTCAGAGCCAAGTAGAAGTTTGTTTATTACAAATAAATTTTATTTAATTATTTGAAACGAATAAATTTATTTAATTTAAATACAAATTTTATTTCATCCTAAAAGGATTTTATTTGTGACAAATAAAGTTTTTTCTTGAAACAAATAAATATGCCTAAGACATGAAAGATCCAAATTAATTTTTTTAATTATGAAAAACAATATTTTGTAAATATAAAGTTCAGATTAACACTGCAAAATTTGGTGTCTCAAAATTAGTTTCTGTTGTAAACCTGTTTCAAATATGATACACAAGACATCTCAAGTATTTTAAATAGGGGAGAGTAGGGCAAAATGGGGTAGGGGAGACTAGGTGCAGTTGTTACAATTTTGATAAAAACAATTACTATGATTAGAGTTAAACTCCAATTTGTTTGGTCACACGATTAAATCGAAGGTATATTATCTAGTTTTAATAAAAGGCCATAAATGATTTAGCTCTATATCTATTATTTAATTAACTAGAATCATTTAAGTGACAGCGTGTAAATTGTAACAACTGCACAAAGTGAATGTCGGTTGTTACAATACCAAAAATCATCTATAACATTTTTAAATTGAAAACAAATAATTTTTTATAACCATTTTTATTAATTATTTATAATTTTTGGCTCAACGTAATAGTACGTGACAGTTCCATACACGGAAAAAATAAATTCTGTAAGAATTCCTGAATTTGTTCCATAATTGAGGATTTGTGCAAAGTTCCAGAAATTTTTAGAAAGTCAATGTAAGTATATCTGAATTGTTCCGAACTAATTACGAAACGGTTTTTGTGAGACTTTCAAAATCAGCAATGTAAATAAATTCCTGGAGAAATACAGGACTGGTCTATAATATTATCGAAATTTTGTCGTAGAAATTATATTTCTTCTAAAATAGTATTTACAAGCGTCTAATCAAGGAGAACTCCAGTTTAAATTTCATAATAATTCCCGAACTTCATCGAAAGAAAAGATGTGACGACCCCGTTTCTCACAAGCGCTGAATAAAAGTAAAGTCTAGTATATAAGAGACTTCCCAGGTCCCTACAACCAGCGTGCGATTCAATGCGTCGTGTATTTGCGTTTATTTGTGTATAAATTATGTGTGAGTTAGAATATATGTAAGTAGCTATAAGTGTATTAAGTATGTATGTATGTGTGTGTATCCTCCTCAACCAATCACAGTTCGCCTTGCTTGACGAATGTCGATCAAGTATATATGCGTATACACAACTTCTTTTTTTTATTTTCTTTGCTACGGAATTGTTCCGGAACTATTCTGTAGCCCTTATAAGAGCTTCTTCATATATGAAGCGACCCTCTGAATTTTTCCCGAACTCATCGGAAGTTCTACCGTCCAAACTATCTGAAATACTCAGCCGCTACATTTCGTAAAAACTATCACATAAATACCGAGTTCTTACCATACAATTCCTGAATATCTATTTTGAAAGTTCGACATTTCTTCCAAATAACAGCTCTATAATAATTACCGACTTTTGCTCATATCCTCAATTTCGGAACGAATTCAGGAACTATTTCCGAATTATTTTTTTCCGTGTAGAGATGGCAGCATTAATATTGTTTTGAAATGAAAGAAACTTAAAAAAGTTTATATTTCATTAATTTTGAAGATTAATTTAGAAAAACCATGAGATTTTTCATATAAAATGAGTGTGATTACATTTTTGACAAATATTTTACATTTCAAACGAATCTGCTGAATTTTTTTTCTGCCTATTTTTTTACTTGTAAAGCTTGCATATAATTTTTAAACATATTGCAGTAAGTTCGTACATAAAAAATAAACATTTTTCTCTTTGGAACCCCATCTCTATAACTAACTGTTTCTGAGATATTCCATTTGTAACAACTGCACAGCGTAACAACCGCACCTAGTCTCTCCTACCTTTTTGAAATTGGCTGTTTACAGAGAACCAAACAAATAAACCGATTCAATCGCGCCGTAAATAGCACTTTTACCCTATATTAAAATTGAATTGATTAAAATACTGAACTTATTAAACTTGATAAAAATAAAAATATTCTTACAGCAAATCGGATTTTAAAAAAATCATTATTTTTATAAGTTCTGCTTTTTAAGGAAAGAAAAATGAAATTCCAAAACAACTAATAAATGTAATAAAAAAAAGAAGAGTTTTAAAAATAAATTTTTATTTTCAGCGACGGCGGTGGAAGGTCAGGAGTTTATTTAGCGATTGATGCAAATATGGAACTATCTGAGGAAGAAGATACATTTGACGTGTTTGGATATTTAAAGAAACTTAAGAAGAGTCGAAAAGGACTGATTGAAAATCTGGTATGTAACCTATTCGATAATTTTAATCACACTAAATAATCAAAGCAAGCATTTGTTTTTTAAAAAGTGGAAAAATAAATAACAAAAGAAAGTGTATAGCCTATTATTATATTTTTAAATTTAATGAAAATTTTACTTAATTTTATATCGAAACATCCAACCTTCTTTATACTTCAAAAGGCCTTTATAACTCTATCATCCTCTCACTCTCCGTATCGTTTCAACATAACTAAAAGCTTTCTCTCATTTAATTTTAAATTTTTCGCGTATTAAAAAAAATTTTTTAGGGAAAAAGTTAGCTTATTCTACAACACGATTCTTAATATTTTCGCAATTAAAATATTTTTATCACTTACCCTACTTTCATTAGAAACAAATAATCCTCAAATAATGTTTGATTTATTTATTCACATGAATATTTATTCTGATATTAGAAAATAAATAAATAATTAAAAAAAAACATCTTATGATGGGATTTCGTTTATAATTTACAGGAACAGTACAAATTTATATACGACACCTTGGAGGAGTTTGTGATATGTGGTGCGTCGTGGTTTCCGGTCTCGGAACTGTCGCAACGTTTGAAGCAAAAGAGCATAAAAAATCCGATAACCAAGATGAATGAGTATCAGAGGGAATATCAGCAAATATGTAAGCAAACACCGCGATTTACAATAGGTGACTGTGCTGGGGGACATCGTGCCGACAATAGAGAGAAAAATAGAGATGTACTTGTCGTTCCACGTACGTTTAATGTTTTATTAATTATTTCATAGTCCCAAGTGCGAAAAACAACACGGCCCAATAATGGCCTAGTATTGGCAAAGTTGGCACCAAGTCTTGGCAGACAATATTGGGCCGTCTCTTGTGGTGACCCAATATTGTCCGCCATTGCTTCCCTAGTATTGGCAATATGCGGAAAATAATACAAATAATTATGTTTTTCAATTAATTTATAATATTTATACGGCTTTATTCCTTAACTTAAACGCAATCTTACAAACATTTGAAAAATTTTTACTGCTTGTTGGGTTCGATACCTCAACCTGACGAAGCCTAACACTCTGTCTACTGTGCTACGTCCCAATATTATCAATTATAATTTACCGTGATAGATAAAAAATTTTAGCCATTAACGTGCCATTACTAGACCAAACTTCGTGCCATTATTGATAATTATAATTTTCCATCAAAGATACATAATTCTAGCCATTAATGTGCCATTACTGGTCCGAGCTACGTCCCAATATTGACAATTATAATTTGCCATCATAGATGGAAAATTTTAGCCATTATTGGGCTTTGCTACGTCGCATTACTGGCAATTAAAATTTAACTTCAATGATACAAAATTTTTGCCATTACCCAGGTGCGAATTATTGGTCGGCCCAACTTAGTTAGACAATGGTCGGGTTGATACAGTAGGACCAGCTGTTGGCACCTAAGTTGGGCCATCTATGGATGAACGTTTTGACGACCGTGGGCATGAATGGTCAGGCTGACTTTGGCAACCATAGTCGGCCCAACTGTGTCAGCCATTGATCGGCCGACTTGATCTATACGCAGGTTGGCCCGACCATTGTCAAACAAAGTTGGACCTTCTATGAATGCCAAAGTTTTGCCGGCCGTGAGAACTTTGTCATTAAAGATACAAAATTTGTGACATCAATGTGCTATTACTGAGCCGAGCTTCGTCCTATCACTGGCAATTATATTTTGTCATTAAAGATTCAACAACCTAGCTGTGAACGCGTCATTACTGGGCCGAGATTAGGGATATTTTTGAAAAATTAGAATATCTGACAATCGGTGACATCATTGGCCCAGTAATGGGACGTTTTGAACACCAGTACTGGCCCAGTAACTATTGACAATTCTCGGCAGACATTACTGGACCAATAAAAGGCCGTTTTTGCAGTCTTGGCATTTCGCACTTGGGGTGCTTGTTTATAAATAAATACAATATTTTTCAAAACAACTTGAATTAACTTTTTTTGCACATACTTCACAGCTGACAACTTCCGACCATATCTACAAAGTTTTCAGGGAAATATTTATACCGACTACATAAATGCCGTCTTCGTTGACGTGAGTATAATCTTGACCTATTTTATCATCTCAAGTCGCACCCTCCTTTTTATTATTGCTGACAAACAAATTTCTCTGCACATTTTATTTTGAATTTTTTTCATTCTCTTTACATAATCCTATACATATATATATTTTCTTCTGTCGTCTCACAAGTATTTGAAAAAAATGCATATGAATAATGAATTTCTTGAAATATGTTAAAATATAGAAAATAAAAGTATATGAATGATTTTGATTTAATTAAAAGTTGCTCAATTTAAAGTGTTTATAAACTAGGTACAGGAAATTTTTTAAATATTTATACGGAATGAAAAAAATTTAATAAATGAAAATACCAGCAACAGTGATGGCACTAATGGTTGGAAACAAACATTTTACGTTTTATAAATTGGATATGAGAAAGACTATTATTCAGAATGATCAATAATTTGTAGCATTTTTATTGATTTACCACTTTAAAATATTAATGAAAAATTACAGAAAAACCTTTCAAAAAGGATTATATTTTATAAAGGATAGAACTTGGATTTTTTTCGTTTTTCTGTCTTGTCAGCACACATGAATTTGACCCTGGTGGAATTTTTTAATTAAATACCTCTAAACTAGAATTTCTTTAAAAAACTATTTTTCATCTATTGATAGTTTGAATATTTGAATGTATTGTACGTCACAAAAAATAGATTTAAATCCAGGCAAATAAAAATCATTACTTTTTTCAAATATCTAATTTTTTGTTCAATAAATTACATTTTTGGAGAATCCCGAAACGTATCTTTTTTTGGTTAGAACAATTCGGCAATTGTACTTTTTGTCAAGGTTGGCCCACCATTTATGATATGAATTTGACAGATACTTTTTAAATAAATATACAAATAAACATTGGCACACACACACATTTTGCCAAAGATATTAGAATAATAATAATAAATCCTATAAATTCTGTTCATTATTTCATTAAGTTAGTTTGTAACTCTTTACAAGTTGTAAACAATAAAGGATAAATTTTTCGTAACGCTAAAAATGTTATTCTATTTTTTAACGGTAAGGCTCTTTGAAGTTCACACATGGGCCGACCTTGACTATAAGGGCCATCCTTGACTACATATTTTTTTGAAATCTTTATAACTTTTTCATTTTAAAACTAATAAATTTACTCTGTTCAGCAAGTGTTCCTATTAAATATAACTTTCTAACAATACACTTCAATTGACCAAATTGATTTTAAAAAAAAGTTATAAACAAAAGTCAAAAGATGAGCCGACCTTGACTATGTTCCCTTACTATTTTTATAAACATTTTGTTAAAAAAATTTAACCACCTTGTAACTGTCATTGTGGAAGATGAACACTAAGTAACAAATGAATTATCTTATGTGAAGTTTATATGGCACTTAAATTTATAATTAAGAAATAATAAAATAAATAATAAAATAGCTAATTATGATAATTATTTATTTAAAAATTTTCTTCACCAATATTAATATTTATTTCCAAAATTAATACTACTTTACATTTTTATTTATTTTTATAATTCTTATTGTTTATTACTATAACCCATAATATTAATAATCATAAAATCAGAGCTGGGTAAAATGGTTCTTTATTTCTATTTAAAATACAAAATGCCAAATAGATTCATAAAACCTATTTAAAATGTAAAATGGAAAATAGTTGTCTGTTTCTTATTTAAAATCAAAATGCAAAATATGTATTTGAAATAGGTTAATATAAAATGCAAAATGGTTTTTAAAAAATTTTTATTATAAGATCTAGAGTATCCTGACAGTTCGAAAATTTTTTAATTTTAATATGCTTGTTTGCTTTTAAAAGCAATTCCCACATAGCACAACATTTTTCAGTAAGTTTGCAGCAAGTTCGCGGTGCAAAGTTCGGAGGTTTGCATGGAAAGTTTGCAGCAAAGTTTATGGACGTATAAAAATGTCTGTCCGATTTAAAGTTTGCAATGCAAACTTGCTACAAGTTTTCACGGAAAACTTACAAATAATTTTATAGCAAACTTGAGAATAATTTGCCGCAAACTTTCTAAAAAATCTCAACGTTAACGTATCTCAACTGTCATAGAAAACTAATGCGCAGACATTTAAGTTTAACTTTGCCATGCAAATTTTCAGCAAGTTTGCATTGCAAACTTTAAATCGGGCAGACATTTTTATACATCCATAAACTTTGCTGCAAACTTGACATGCAAACTTCCGAACTTTGCACCGCAAACTTGCTGCAAACTTTCTGAAAAATGTTGTGCTATATGGGTTGCTTTTCAAAAATGTCGTCTCCCATGGACCTTTTTTTGAACGTAAAATCATTCCAGCGTGGCTGAAAAGTCGTTTGACAGGAGCCGATGATGGAAGGATTGTATTGTACTTACAAAAAAGATCTTTGATTTTTGATAACGCATTAAGGGTCTGTCCAGTCCCACGGCGGCGTGAAAAAGGAAAATGAAAAGCGTTTAGCCAATAAAAACATTCGATTCAAAGGAAATAAGAAGATTTTCATTGTAGCATAAGTTCCTATTATCTAACGCTTTCCGCTTTCACGCTGCCATGGGGGTGGACCTTTAATTGAAAGGTTTTAATTCAGCAGTGAAAATTTGCATTACTATTGAATAGTACTGAAAATGGAAATGGAATTTTAAATGGAAAATAGGTTGTAAATCTATTTAAAATAGAAAATGCAAAATGGTTGTTTCATTTCTATTTGAAATATAAAATAGAAAATGCCATTTTTCATTTCAAATAGGTATTTCAAATAGATTCATTTCAAATATTTACCCAGCTCTGCATAAAATATACATATTGGCAATTAAAAATGGCGGATGCAATATGATGGACGACAAAATTAAAATAAAAAAATTTTGTCGTTCGCTATATTGGATCCGACATTTTAAATTTCAAAAATCTAATATCATATGCGTAATCAGCGACCCCAAAAACTCCCGAGTAACAATTTTCAAGCAAATCCATTTGATTTTTTATTTTCTCTTCCGCCATATTGGATCCGCCATTTTGAATTTTAAAAATTTGATATAAAATTTGTGATCAGCAACACCAAATACATTTTTGTCTTTTTTACAAAATGCAAATAAGAAAACATTTAAATCATTCGATTGGATTCTGCTTATTATATGGTGATGAATAAGTATGTATAACTTTTGTTTTACTTCGAATTTTTTAATAAAATTTTAGGAGAGTATTCTTGACACTGTAAGAAATCCGAAAATAAATAAAATCGATTTTTTTCATATTTTGAACTGCAATGTCTCCTTTAAATTTTAGGATTTAAACGCATTTACTATGTGACATATTTAAAATAGCGACTTAACAATTTTTTCATTTTTACTTTTATATTCCAGCACCATATAACCACTGTTTTATATTTATGCTTCATATTTTGTATTATACACTACCGTCCACGAGTATCAGGACGATTACAAGCGACTCTATGAAAAAACATGCCATCACTTTTTTAATCATATCTCGGAAATAAGAGGAGATACAAAAAAAACTTATATAAGGTTAGAAAGCTTATTAAATTCTGCGTAAAATAAGCCGTCTTTGAAGTCATTTCGTTATCTATATTTTTTGAGTTGTAGAGTGAGAAGGAAATAAAAATAATTATCAAATTTTCTCATTTTTGTCTCTTGACTTCAACTTCTTTAAAAATCTAGAAAAATTTAGATAAAATTTTTCTAAAAACACAGAAATCTTTGTTAGAATTTCAGCTTTAAAATAAGCCTTCGAAAATTAAAAAAGATTACTCCGTCTTCGATATATCATTAAAAATGTGAAGCCGAGTTTCGACGATTGGTGCATTGGATTTAACTGTGACGACTTGATTCTAGCTTCGCGGGGCTGCGAATGGGAGAGAAAACAGGGAAGGATTTATGCTAGGGAATAATAAATAATGATGTTTCACGAGTAATATAAAGAAACTCGAAAGTTTATCGTTCCCAGCATGAATTCGTACCTGCTTTCTCTCTCATTCGCAGTAGTGTTCTAAGTCGGTTACACGGAGAGAAAGAAAAGTAAGCGGCTCTACCTGTCGGTAGAGCGGTTGCGTTAAATGCGAAACAGCCGTTCAACTTGAGGTTAAGCACGCTGCTTACACTCGAGGGGAGAACGGTTCTCCTTTTTGGGGAAAGCGGGTACACTTTTTGGAAAGTAAGCGGCTCTATTTGTGTGGAGAAGAGAACCGATACTCCTCAAAAAGTATAACCGTTCGACGTTTTCGGCGCTACTGCTGTGCTTTATAAAGGGAAAACAGCGCTCTCTTGACAAATCAAACGGCTCACTTTTTTTTCTCTCCGTGTATATTACCCAGAGAATATTACCGAGAACGAGAATATTACCGAGAATATAACCGACGATTAAATTCTCTGAGAATTTAAGAGAATGTGACATAACCTCACTTTTGTCATTACACTGTGGTAAATTCGATTGTCCGACGTTGTGTTTTTATTTAGTAGTTGTTATTTTGTTTATTAAAGTGGCTATATATTTAAAGATTTAAAAAATGACAAAACCAAAGAGTGTAAAATGGAAATATTTTAAAACCAATGAATACAAAAACAATTAAATTCTTCTGTAAATTTTGTAAACAAGAATATGCCACAAATGCTATATATTAAAGGTACTTGCACAGCTCTACTGACTGCAGGTTGTCATGGTAACACATAAGAGCAAGAGAGTCAGAAAATTTAAATTAAATGGTTTTTCTCTCTTACTCTCGCAGCAGAGCTGACAGAGAGCCTTTATTCACAAATAATTTCAAAATATTTATTTAAAAAATTTTTTAATTCATTATATATAATGTTAAATATAATCCTTATTCTTTATTTATATATGTGACGCTCCACGAGAAAAGGGACCTTATTTACTCTTGTCATAAGGTCCCTTTTCTTGTGGAGCGTCACATATTTTCAAAAGTATCTAAACTTTTATTCGTATTAAGTTACGCATATTTTATAAACCTTATAAATGC